ACGCAGGAAGATCCCGGGTGTCCTCACCGGGACACGAACCGGCGACCTTCTTGCTGAGTGCTAACCACTGCCCCACCTTGCAGCCTCAATCGAAATATGAACACTCTGTCTTTAAAAGCAGCAGATTTAAATGAAAATGTGATGACATCTGTCGGGTTGTTTGTTTTTCTTCCAGGTCACTGTAAAGTCCATTATGATATAAAGTCTATTCAAATACACTATTCACAACAGTCACACAGCAGCTGTTGGCAGGAGGAGCTCTCGTGCCACCAATCCTGCAGGTCAAACTCTAACCAGCGTCCTCACCTTGCGTTCATCCTTGACAGCCTGCTTCCTGGCCTTCCTCTCCTCTTTGCTCTCCTCCTTGTTTCGGGGCTGAGTGGAGACACGAGGCAGGTCCGAGTCGTTGATTCTCGTCATGCGCTCCGCCTGCTTGGCTGTCAGGCCTCTGGCAGGGAGGACGTCCAGGGGGATGCCCGTCTTACTGGACACAATGATCGGCTTCGGCTGGGGGCAAAGAGAAGTTAAAGAGTGGCTGAATATACTTCTGTACCACAAACAGCTGCATGTGACAGTAACTGTTGTTAATATCAGATCTGAGCCTCGATGAGCAGCACTAATTTACTTTTACATGCAGTCAGAGGTCTTACTGAACAGCTTTTCAAACAGTACTCAAGCTGTGGGATGGTCAGCCTAATAATTCTGGTTTTTAGTGGTTCTGATTCAACATCTGTTTAATATCTCTTAGCAGATAAAGGAAGTGTTTTCATACCTTTGAAGGTTCCTGAATGACTTTGGGTCTGTTGTATATGTTGGAATACGTACCTGGAGGAGAAACATTTAGATGAAAATGCAGAAACACTAACGTCAGCGTCTCACACACACACTTCTCACCAACTGCTTACAGACTCCTTTACCACGTTGGATATTTTAAAGTTAAAATACAAATGGGTATGATGACCAGCTCAGAGCAGCCAAGCAACGTTAAACATTCTCGTCAGGAATTGACAACTTGTGTTGAAGCCGGGATCCAAAAATTTATTTTCTCACCTCGCCTCATTTAGCCTTCTGCTTTTATGTCTGTAATGTGTTGTTAGCATTCAAAGTTGTTCCACTCTGTTGAGGCACTGCTCTGCTCCCTTTGGCACCATTATCCTGCCACTATTTCTACATCCTGTGGTGTGTGTAGAGCTGACAACGGAGAGGGGATGTAAAAACTCATGTATTCTGAGCACGGCTGCGCGGTGGTTCGGTGGTTAGCACCGTCGCCTCACAGCGTCCCGGTGAGGACACCCGGGATCTTTCTGCGTGGAGTCTCCATGTTCTCCCCGTGCAGCGTGGGTTCTCTCCGGGTTCTCCGGCTTCCTCCCACAGTCCAGAAACATGCTGAGGTTAATTGGTGATTGTAAATTGTCCGTAGGTGTGAATGTGAGTGTGCTTGGTTGTCTGTCTCTAAGTGTAGCCCTGTGATAGACTGGTTACCTGTCCAGGTGAACCTGCCTTCACCCTGAGTCAGCTGGGATAGGCTCCAGCCCCCATGAGTGAGGATTAAGGTGTAGAGATGATGGATGCATCTAGTCTGAGCCGTGCATAAGCCAACTTGTAAATACACTGAACTTCTTTTTATCCAATCACAGCCAACTTCTCTAACTGTGTTCATACAGAAGGACAATCCTGGTTATTGCACCTGATTAAGTTTCTTTTGTTCCTCCACCATTCGCTGCCTGTGTGTTTATTACTTTTTATCAAATGCAGATGTCTTTTAAATTAATTAGTGCACCACCTGAGCAATTACTGCCTTAAACATTAAAGTTGTGTTTGTTGCTAAACCGTATGATGTTTGTCATGCTAAAAATCTGTTCTTATTGTGGTCTGTGGTTGGTATAAACTTGGAGGTGCAGCATGAAAGCCATTTTAAGCAGAAAGACAAACTGTGGGAGCAAGCGGCACTTGGAATAATTTTCAAAAAAAAATGGCACAGTTCAAACAAAACCACAACATTTTAGGACATTCGCTGCTTTTCTTTCTTCCTTAACTGTGAGATGCTGAGCTTTGCTATGCTTTGGAACCACACTGGAAGTTTGTGCAAATAAACCAATAAATACCAAACTTGCTGAAGGAATCACAGGTGAAGTCGTTGGAGGACTCTGACTACATGTTTCTACGGTTGATGACTGAAGTTCATATCTGAGAAGGAAACTTGGCCGAAAAGCCTCCAGTCTCAGTTAAAACTAATAAAATGCACAACTTCACAGCAAAGTGGCACGAAGGGGAAACAAGACTCACTGATGATGGTCTCACAGTCCCACTTCTCTTCTGGAGCCGTGATAACAACAGTTTCCATCTCTTCTTCCTCCTCCTCCTCGTCTTCCTCCTCCTCCTTCACAACAGGAAGCTCTTTAGGACCCAAATCTTCAGGTCTCAGGTACCTGATCCACAAACAAGATGTACGTTACTCATTTAAAGCCACAATTTCATGTTGAATAGAAGAAGAATTTGATGAAGCACTCATCGTATGTTTGAATCAGATCAGGACGGTAGAACAATAAGAACCACTCACTCGTTCTCTTTGTGTTTGAAGTAGTCTTTGATGATTTCCTCCAGGCGAGCGCTGTCCGGTTCGATGAAACCCTCCAGCTCGGCGTTGTCCAGAGCGCCGATCTCATCGTCATCAAACTGTTCGTAAAACTGAAACAACACAGATGCAGTTTTTGACTGAGTTGCTGTTTGAGATCATATTCGTCACCACTGCTGAGAGTCCAAACTGGGTATGAACTCTATCATAGAACCGTGATACTAGGAGGTAAATCTTGATGTACCCCACAGTAAGACACCAAAATCTGCAAAGTAATGGTGGGCCGAGGCCCATTTTTTAAAACAGATTTGTCAGCCTGATCATGCTCATGACGTCAGACTGCTTTTCTGCAAACATGCTAAAATACGTACACCACAACATACAGTCATGACCCGATAGTCGACCCTTAACAATCCTAAACCTTGCTATCCGGCGTATTATCTGACTGAACAATCCCACAGATTGGCTACGTTCACACTGCAGGACTTGATGCTCAATGAGGATTTTTTGAGCCTTCCAGCATCAAGCCCTCCTTGTATCTGGACCTCCGTCTTGACAATCCGACAGCCTTGATATCCGACATAAAAGAAGGTTTAACATTTCGTGTCCGATTATCGAGTCACGACTGTGATTACGTTTTGTTTAGAAACCTGCTCGGCCAGTTACTAACCCACAGCTCCTGAGAAAACGTTTGCGTCCTCCACTGATGTTACACTTGATGTCAACTACTGTCACCATCACACACGGAGCTCATTATTAAAGATCCACCTGCTGCCATGTCAACTGCAGCTGCTGCTATTTCTTTTATATATGTCTATTCATGCACTGGCATTATAAGGTGCAAGACAAATAGCATTTGAGTTCACCAAAAGATTTTTCTGTGGGTTTTTTTTATTGCATAATCGGCGTTACACTCTACGTAAGTACAATCTTAAATAAAAGTTAACTTCACCTTGAACCTCCAACTATTTTTTACAATGCAGCTATCATAAAATGTTAATAATTATCCACTAAACTGCTTTATGGTTCACCTTTTTATCATGAGGTAATATAAGTTTAATGGCTTGACCTGTGATTCAGAACTCTGTGGATCATAGCTGACTGACATGGGCCCATTTCCCTGCCTCACTACAGACCAAATGCCTCATTGATCATCCAGAAAATAATCCGGATGTAGCAGTAATCATTAATGAGCAAGGTTCACGTGACAGTTATTTATATGTTCCTTAAATATTGCTCTGTGGAGTACCCAACACATGAAAATAAAAAACAGACATCCAAATGAAGTTTGATTTGGTCTCCGGTTTCTTCCAGTTAAAATCACTTTGAATGAATCAAAATGATAAGAAGTCAAATCGGTTACATGACCAGCCAATTAGGAAGGCTGCTTTTCTAAATAAAGCTCATGATAAACATATCTGTACACAGGAATCATGGCCACGTTTCTGTGTTTCAAAGAACTCTCAAAAACTTTTCACATGGAGAATTCATGTGACATCAACTCTTCTGAATCGTACTTCGATGTGAAGATGAGGAGTCAGCCTCATTAAGATCGGTTCACCTTTTCGAAGCGGTCGTCCAGCAGGGTGAGCTGCTCGTTCCTCCTCATCACAGACGAAGTCATCGAGTACTCTGTGAAGCGACTCTTTGTCTCCTCGTCCATGAACAGGAACTCTCGACCGCGGCCGCCGCCTTCCACGTCCTCGTCGTCAGAAAAACCGCCCTCAGAGTCAAAATCCTCTTCCTCGTCTGTGTCCTCCCATTCATCGTCATCATCTTCATCGTCTCCTCTGTCACACACAAACAGGAAATCAGGGTCAGATGTGATACAAGATCCACAAACTGGAAAACATTTGCTTTCATTCTGTGTATTTCAGCAGCCTGACAGAAGACTCTGACAACATTTAGCTCACATCATGGACGACAATCTGCCAATATCCAGTACAGAAATGTACAATGTGTGTTGCCTAAATTAACTACACCACTAACCAGCAAGCATTGCTTAAAACAACAATGAATATTTAATGCACAGTATCGAGACGGAAAAAACATGCAGACAATTGAAAGATTTACAGTCCTCTGAAGCCATCGTAGAAGCTCTGAGAAAAGGTGTCTGATGTCTTGTGAAACGTGAGAGCTGAACTTAAATGAGAGCCTTGCCATGCCTCTCTCCTTGACCTTTTAGATTTCAAATGCTTTCACTTCATCGTTTTATTCTGTCATATTTAGAATATGACCTCTTGAGTTACAGGAAAAATGTGCTTCGTCCCAAACTTAAAAGAAATGTACTCAAGGCCTTCCATCATGAGATGCCGCATTCACGAGGAGGAGATGGTATGATAAGTACGGACATGACATCTGCAGCCGCAGCTGGAACAGAGGCATAGAAAACTCATGACATCACCTTTGAGGAATAAAAAGATTTCACTTCTTACTCTGCGTCCGCTGCTCTGACAGAGCAGTTTGCTTTGAGGATGAAGTCGTCCTCCAGGATGTTGTCGGGGTCGTCATAGTTAAAGTCTTCATCGAGAGCAGCTACGATATCAGGGTCCATGTCCAGCCGGGGTCCTGAAGAAACACAAGGACAGTAAAATGGTGACACCTGGACCCGAAGGCGACCGAGCAGCAGCCTCAGGTGGCTGTTGTAAAGTCTGATTAAAGGACACAAGCTACCAACAGCTGTGAACAAAAGCTTGGATACATTCGTAAAGACCAAGCAGACCTGTAATAAATCATTAAAAGAACCAAAATGCATGATGAAACATTCGTGTGTTTTAATGAGTTGTAGGAGTCACTTGAAACTCAAGACTGACATAATGTACATGGTCTTTACAGGTTTATGTAAACTTCTGTTCATGACTGTAACTCCATTTAGAACCAATGAGGTTTTTACCTGAAATAGGAGCAGCTTTGTTCAGCAGTCCAACTTCTTCTTCAAACTCTGAGGCGAACACTGACGAGGGCAGATGGATGGTGGCGGCCTGGTCACCAAACAAGACAGACGTCAGTTTACAGCCCAGGATGTTTTCCACACGAATCCACGCACAGAAAAAAGAACGACCCAGTTCTGCATTTGTCTAATGTCTGCTTTTCTGACTCACTGAAATCAGTCGTCTTTGTTTACTGTTTACAAACAAACACAACCGAAAACTTGGCGTCCTAATCTGAGACACCAGAGCTTTTGTGAGGACTTTCACGGCTGAAGGGAACTCACAGGCACGTCCTCGTCCACGTCTCTCTCCTCCTCGTTTTCCTCCTCTTCATCCCGGAGGTGTAAAGCTCGTCTGTTGGGGTACGAAGCTCCTTCTGCCACCAGCTCAGTCGGGCCAGACGCCTCCTTCAGGTGCTGCAGGTAGTCGTAGTCGTCATCGAAGAACACGCCAAACTTCCTCTGCTCCTCGTGCCTCTTCTCCACTTCGACCTGAGCAACATTAAATCATGAAATTAGAGACGTTTTTGAAATCAACTGTGACATGTTGTGTCAAACTAAAGAGACCGGCATGTACATCTAAACAGTTTATGCAAATGATTAATAAGACAAAAAGACAAGGGCAAGCAAAAAGAAAGACTTGGCTCCTTTTAACTATGAGATGCTAAATTGTTGACCTTGTTCTTGCCTCTAAAAAAACATTCTACGCTATTTGGTTTCTGTGGTGTTAATGAATAATTATTACTGAATTATTTGCATGTAAAAATTCAACCAAGTAAAAATACCAGTAGGGAGGGAAAAATCAATCCAAATTGTTAAATAAGATGTTTGGCGAAACATGTTTCAGTTGTGTTTGAATTTTGATGAATAAATTAGGAAATGTTGATATGTGGTCCAAAATTCTTGGCATTCATTTTATCTGTTCCTGAAGTGTCTAATGTAAGCGAGCTACTTTTGCTGCAAACAAAAGGTGTTCATAGTTAAAAACAAATATTTGATTAATTTTAACAGTTACAGGTTAAAGAGGTCGTGGGCAGTTTGCGTCCTTAATTGCGCTTCTCGATCACAAAGCAGGAAAAGGTAATGAACTGCTGGTGTAAATCACCACTTCTGTATAACAGCGGAGAATAATGTAACATTTAAAGCAGAACACAGTTAATCTGTACCTTTGTGGACGGCAGGAGGACGTGCTGTGGCGCTTTCTCATCTGCAGCGAGCGGGTCCCTCTGACTTCTGTGGACGAGGTGAAAGGTCACCGCCTTCTTCTTTTCAATGAACGATTTCTTCTTTCTATGAGGCTGGAAAAGACAAAGAAATTAATGATTTTGAATGTACTCATACACTCCCATTAAAGAAGGAAAAAAACAACTGAAATAAGTTGAAATTGACAAAAGTAATACATAAAAATGTAATGAACATCACATCATGACATTGCTTTTGAATTGTGCTTCAACAGAATATATATATATATATACATATATGCTCATCAGCAAAGTGCTCTCATGTGCCCGGGACAGTTTTTTTTTTATTATTATTTTTTTTCAACCACAATTCAAAAGCAACATCTTCTGTCAAAAAATTATAATTGAATTTTTTTATTTATTATTACTTTCTTCAGTTTCTACTTATTTGAGTGACTATTGTGAATTTTGCCTTTTCTTTAATAGAAGGGGATGAAGACATTTGAGGATGACTGTATTTACATATATTTTTTCGAAATACTGCAAAGATACCTCTGGAGCTGGGAGTGCCTGAGGACTCTTGTGTTCACTCTTGGCTTGAGGAATAGCAGTACAACATGTCTGTATTTTTTATATGTTCAAGTCTTAGAAAACACACAAACAATTCCCTATATAGGCCCTCTGCACATTCTGACACTGTACCTGCCAAATGGGCCATTTAAATGAGTCACTTTAACAACAACCAGCTGTTAAGCTTGCCACCAGTGATGTGGAATTTCAAAGGCTTCTCATGAGATTTCTGGAAAACCATTTAAACCAATTAAACCCACATCTTCTGGATCTCAACTCAGAACAGCGTTGATTTTCTACCAAATGTATTTTAGTGCTAATCAAGATATAAGAACGATAGCAAGCTACAAAAATAAGAGTTGTAGTTTTCATGTTAATTAAAACGCGGGTTTATCGGATATCAATAAAAACGGTATTTATTTAATGATTTCTTTTAGCGATTTCAGCCACTGCGGGGTTATTCTGATGGGCTACGTTAGCTGCTGTTAGCTAAACACGTTAGCTTAGTGTGTAAACGTCGTCTTACCATTTTGTAACAGGATCTCCGACCGTATGCTTCAACGGGTCACGTTTAGGAACCTAAGAAACTCAGCTTACGGGTAGCTGTCACGACAAAAAACCGTTTAAATCCGCAAGTTGTCGCCGTTGTTTATCCACGCTGGACTCTCTTTTAGCACGCTGCCACAGCGGCCATGACTGGAAGGAACCATCTCGAAAAACCGCGGGGGGTTAGAAAGGATAACAGGACGACTTAATATGAAAGACAATAATGTTTTAGTCTTTGCTGAAAAATATCCTGTTTTTTTCTCCATAACTGAATACGAATGCGTGTGTTTTGTCAATGACGTAATACGTGCGTATTTTAGACAGTGGCGGTGCTCCCTTTACAATGTAAACTTAGTATAGTCCAATTTTTTTTTCAACACCTTTATTTATAAACCAGCTCTCACAGCTTTTCAGGTTTGAATGTTTTGCATAAAAGTTTTCATCATCACCAGTTATCATTATAATTATCAGAAAACAGTATTCTAACGTATACAATACATTTGTTGTACCTCAGTCTGCAGCAGTTAGAAACATGCGTGCGTTTAACGATCCAGTTTCAGATTTACTGAGTGAAGATAACAGAAATATTTTTATGTTTACTGATGTATTTATGACCTTATGCAATGTTTGTAGCGCACGCAATACATTGCATGTTCTGATTGTCTTATATGCACTGAAATGACTTATTCAGGTTGCGCTGGGAAGAAAACATCAGTCAGTGCTTGTGTCTTACGGAGCTGAATTTATATCATTTTTAGATGTAAGAGATCTGCAGCGGTAGTGAAATGAAAACAGGATGCTAAAGGACTCTTTTCATTATTATTACTCTTATTATTATTATTATGTTTCCATTATT